AGTAGCTTTATCTACTACCGAAGCAGAATATATGGCAGTGACCGAGGCGATCAAAGAAGCTTTATGGTTGAAGGGTCTATTTGCGGAACTCAGTTTACACCAAGGTGGTATTATCATTTTCTGTGATACTCAAAGTGCCATTCACCTGACTAAAGATCAAATGTATCATGAGAGGACGAAGCACATCGAAATAAAGTATCATTTCATCCGAGAAACCATTGCTGAAAGAAAAGTCTCTGTTCAGAAGATCAACACTAGAGACAATCCTGCTGACATGTTCACAAAATCTCTTCCAATATCCAAGTTCAAGCTTTGCCTGAACTTGATTGGCATTTATGAAGAATGATTTTGCCCATTGGGGTTTTTGCGGAGAAGGTGGAGCAAATTTACTATATATAAGCCGAAATTAGGCCAAGGTGGAGATTTGTAATATGGCCAAATTTTTATGACATTTGCCGTGACATAATATCCATTATAATAAATTTGTGGTTCATGACATTTGCCATGACATAATATTCATTATTAGGACAAGAATTTCTTGCTATAAATAGAGGAGTTTCTCCTCATTTGCAAACACACCAATTCAAGAGCTTTTCACTATTGTCTTTCTTTCTCCTCATTTATTTCATTATAGAGTATTTTGTAAGAGAGTGAGTGTTGGGAAACACTTGTGTGAACTCTTTCTTTGGAGTAATCTTGTGAGATTATTCTCTTGGGGTATTTGGGATTAATTAGAGTATTTACTCTAATTTTGTACTCTCTTTTGTACTCTTGTTGGTATAGTGAAATTGCTTCTCTCCGCTTGTGGACGTATGTCACCTTGACCGAACCACGTTAAATTTGTGTCTTCTTTAATTGCTGTTATTATCAACTTTCATTGTCTTTTTTATTGTCATTATATCGTTGTTTAGCTAAATTACGCACTATACGGGTTCTCGATCCTAACATAGGTATGTACGAAAAGTGGAACAAATGGGTAACTTTCTCCTTCTTGAAGACAGAGGTTTCAAAATCAAGAGAAACGGGTGCCTTGATTGTAGCAAGAGCAGAGACCATGCAAGCATTAAGAGTTGCGCGGGAGCCAGAGCCACTACAGGAGAGAGATTTGGCTCTGAGAGGCTTAAGAAACGGGGATGTAGAAGAAGAAGAAATGGAGAAACAAGTAGCCACCTTTGTCGCCATTATGAAAGCTCTGAGAGCTTCCGGAAACAGAGAGGGAGGGAGGGAGGGATGTAGATGTTTTTACGTGTTAGTTTTTTCTGTTTCAGTTTCACTTTACAGCGCACTGTTTTATTTGACTTAAAAATCTCAAAATTCTACTGGTATGTTTAAGACCAGCGAGTTTTATGGTATGTGCCAAAAATGGAACTATTGGAGTAGCTGATTCCCTTTTGAATATGTGTCCTTTTGAATATGTGTAGGGAGAAAGCGAAGGCGGAGGCATTAGTGTGGAAAAGCAAGAATTAGAGGAGGGAGGGGAGAGCAAGCAAGTGCAGCAGCAGGGAGGAGGGGTGCTATATGATATTGGTGAAACAATAGTTGAAATAGGGAGGACTGCCAAAGATTTTGTTGCTGGCAGAGGCCAGTTTGAGGGGAGTGAACAAGTGGAAGTAGAGAAGAGAAGTCAATCACAATTATATCGTTGAGTTGGACCTGCCTTTGGTTTAAGTGCTTTTAGTCCTTTTTGAGGAGGAAGGTTAGCGGAATATTAGGTGTTTGTTTCATAGTGTTGTGAAATATGAAACTGTCATAAGTAATGTATTTTGTTGTTACAGGTGCATGTGCATCTGTGGATGACTACAGCTTGTGAAACTTCTTTTGTTATTAACTTTTGGAAGTGTATGGTTTGGTTTGGTTTAAATTAGAAACGTTTAGTCAAAGTTAAACCAATTCACCATTATATTATACTCCTATTAATTTTAAAAATATTTGACACATGCGTACTTTATAATTTTGTTTAAACTTTTTTTATGTAGTTTTTGCTTTTAGATATTATTTCAGCAAAACTACATGAGCACTATTGCAAACAAATATAAGTTTAATTTAACAGTAGAAATAATAATAATATTAGATATTTTTTTTTATTTTGCATTGGTTTAGACTAGTAAAAGTTTGTAATTTTTGTTTTTTTTTGTTTAGTCATATAAGTAATACTTATTAATATCACTTCTTTTAGCATGACTTAGTCCTTTTAGCTTTCACTATTATTCACTATTAGAAATTCGATCAAAAGCAACCGACAAAATTAATCGATATTGTTCGGTAATTGACAAAATTGATAGAAAAACGATCGATTCGTAGCGGTCGAAAATTGTTAGGTCGGTAGAGCTAGTCGATCAGCTTCGGTCGGTCACAATCGATCGATTTTAGTCGTTTAATTAAATTTCATAACCGACCCAAAAGGATTAAATTTCATAACCGACCCAAAAGGAAAAAAAAAAAACGACGGACTACGTTCAACTTATTAAAATTATTACCATTGTCGCCCTATTCTTGATCATTTAAATAATTTTCAAGGTGTCCTTGATCAACTGTCTGGAATGAAAGTTAATTCTGATAATGAGATACAAAGACTTTGGGTTCTTAATACTTTGCTAGATTTTTGAAAAACACTTTGTGTTTCTTTGACAAATTCAGCTCCCGATAATAAGGTGAGAATAGAATATACCAAGAGTGATGTGTTGAAAGAGGATGTAGGGAGAAAATCTCAGGGTTCGTTCTCACATGCTTATATTTAGTTACAGAAGACTGTGAGAGGGATATAACAAGTGGGTTCGAGGAATAGATGTAAAAGCAGAAATAAGTCAAGGTCCAAATATCAGAATTATTCGTGTAACCATTGTGGCAAGAAGGGACATTCCAAAAAGTTTTGCTACAAGTTGAAGCAAAACATTAGAGAAAGAAAAAAAACTGAAAATAACGAGAACAATGATGTAGCTATTGTTCTAGATGACCTTCTCTTTATTTATGATGTAAACGCCATAAATTTGGTATCCCATGAGACGAGTTGGATAGTAGATTCTGGATTTATCTCATATGTCACGCCATAAAAAAACTTCTTTTCATGTTATACTCCTGTTGACTCCGGATGATGTTAGCACATTTTGTTTGAAAACTAGTAATAGTTTAACGTTAGTTCTTAATATCAAGCATGCTTCTAATTTTCTTTAAATTTGATCTCCATAGGAAGACTTGACGAAGAAGGTTACTATAATGCCTTTTTAAATGGCTATTATATCGGAAAGAGGCAAACTCAAACATTGAAAAAAATAAAGAACATCAAATTTAACGTGAAAAACCCTTCAAATTGATGGTAAAGATTACGTTAAAATTTGGTGTTCTTTATTCATCTATTTTCGGGGTTGCCTCTTTCTCGATATAACAGTGGCATCAGAGTAAGGTTCAAGACATGTTCGTCTAAGCGGGTTTAGTTCTAGCCGCAACCTATTTGACGGTAATCATGATTTTTGTTTGACAAAAAATTTGACAAACTTTGTAGTGATGAATTGAAGATGCAACCTATTGAAGGTTGTGAGAAGAATATAGATCAAGTTTATTTTGTTAAAAAATTTATGCCAAATTGATTTTCTTGTCTCTTGAAGGAAGGGTAACATATTTAGTTACTACAAATTTTGCCTTTCGTGAAAAGAAAATATTATTCTTTTATATTTAGCTAGTCTTTTTTCTTGGAGGAAAAAGTTTTGATTTCTATGAATGAATGATTGTTCCTTCTCATTCAATAACATCCACAATGTAGCCTTATTAAGGTGTTTGAGAGTCTTGTCTAGGAGGAGAATTTGTAACACAAGTATTAGCCTGTAACTTGTGTGTGCCTCTTGTGAGATAATTGTCTCGATATTTTATGCTTTTTTTTATATAGTTGATTGATCATCTTTGCCTGTGGACGTAAGTAAAAAACCGAACCACGTTAAATGTTTGTATTTTTTTGGTGTATTTTCTCTTTTAGTGTTTGATTTATCGTTATTGAAGATATACTTTGTTAACTTCCGCATGTGATTATTTCGATCTTAACACAACCTTATATTCCAAAATCCTAAATCTTATTGATCCATATATGTCTACAACAAAACTGGAAACCAATATAATCTTCAACTTTATGAAATGTTATGTATATACTGCTATAACGCAAAAACAACTCAAAGTAGAAATATCATATCCAGAGTCACGTGGTTATGTTACACAGAGAAAAGAGGAAGGAGGTCCAAATTTGGTCATGTACTACATGAAATTGGACAACTTTCTCATCCGTTTAACTTTTTGTTTATTCATATTCTTGGCTTTATCAATTTTTTTCATATTTTTCCTTGCCGCTCCAATATGAAATGAACAGATTCCATGAGTTCAAATTCTTCAACAATAATACAAAATTACCTAATGTTGGAGCTCGTTAGGGATCACGGATAAAAATAAGACTCTTTCCTAATAATGAAGTAATATAAAACAAAAGTCTAATACTAGAAGATAAAGTTATTTTATTCCAAATAATACAATAACAAATTTGATCGTTTCTCAAAGTAAAATAGAGCAAAGTGATGGAAAGAGTCTGTCAAAAAGGGATCTTGTCAGCAAACCACTTCATGACACGAATAGGAGCCTTAATCAACGCCAGTCCAAATTCAACCAACACTGTCAAACATATGCAACACGGACACGTCGACCTATACACATAATAACAAATATATAGTCAAAAAATAATTCATATAATACAATTACCTGAAATGAAAATTAAAGAGAAAAACAAAAAGGAAAAAGAGCTAATAAAAAACCCGATAATCCAGATGAGGACGCCGACTATGGAAATAAGCAGGGAAATGAGAGCAAAAGGGAGGCCCAACATAAAGGCCAAAGGTCTGCAACTGCAATCAATTCCCGGACACATTTTCTTTTCAATCCACCTTATAATTTCTATTTCTGCTTCCCCTCTTTTATATACTCTCTATCTAGTCTTTTTCACTTGGAGTAAAGAAAGTGAAAAACCATAGCACCTGAAATGGACTAAGGATCAGATCCTCTACATTAAAAATTCTCCACTTTGTGTCCCAGTAGAAATGTAGAATCAGATTCTGTGTGCTGTTTAGACTAAATTATCTATGTTGTGGAATTCCCTTTTTTGGATGAGTGATCATTGATATGAATCAGGTTCTAATTTAAAGTGATTATTAGTTTAACTGAACACATAATTTTCGACATATAATATAAATTTATATATAAAAATTTATTAAAATCTCGCCAAGCATTAAATTTGAACCGCATAATTTTAATAGTACAATAAGTTTAACGCTAAAAATCTAAAAGCTAAATTTACTAAATTTAAATACTGGATCTATCTCTCCGCGACTTTACGACAATATATATAAACAAAGACTTGCTTTTATTCATGAAGAGTGAGTAAAAAGATTGTTGTTGATTAGTTTATAATAAAGAATATGAGTTTGCCACTTCATTTGAGAGACATCCGCATCTTTGTTTATTTAAAAAATGAATCAAGCGATTCGAGTCATGACATCATACATGAGTTAGAACCCTCTACGTCACTAACAATGAGCGCAGTTCATAGGCTAACATAAGGGTGGCAAATGGCCGATCTCGGGCCTAAACGGGCTAAGTGGTTCGGTTCAAACGGTTTCGATCCCGGTCCCAAATTAAACGAGCTATAAGGTCCCGGGCAAAACGGTCTTTTTGTAGGGATCGGAACCCTTTGGTCCTGGGCTAAGTGGGCCCAATAGATTTAAAAAAAAAATTAAATAGAAATTAGAAACAAAAGAATGTTAAAAATAATATCTAAGTCTAAAGACAAAAATATTGTAAAGAGATATGCCTTGTAATTTTATTATAGCATTAAAAAAATATGACAATATCTTTCTTAGTTTTCATCTCCCTATGAAATGAGCACAACAAGGTGCTAATACCACCATTGAGAAGAAAAAGAAACTAATCAAGATGTGCCAAACTATAAGTTACATAATACATACTAATTTTTGTTCATACAAGTTACATGATATCTCGTACAAACTTCATAAATCTATCAAGGTCCGGAGAAATTTCTGTTGTTAGTGGAGGAAAAGTAGCTTGGTCATCGCCACTTTCGGGCGAAGCAACATCCTCCGCAAGTTCAGCTAGCATTTTTTCGTAAGGTTCGTCTTCATCTGGTTGTGATTCAGCAAGTCCAAAATTTCTTCTTTCCGACCGGATTCAATCTCTGAAAAGTACTGATTTTTCCAAACTCTCCCTCATAGACGCTCTATAATCATCGAGTTGAAATCTTGCTTGACTGAAAGCGCTCTCTGATGCCACTGTTGAAACTTGAATAGTTAAAATGTCTCAGGTCATCCTTGAAAGAACCGAAAAGTGTTTTTCTTTGTCCTTCCACCATTCCAATATATTAAATGAGTCGTCGGGATTCACTTCCTCAATTGCCTGCGACAAATAAACTTCAAGCTCATTTAGTTGTGAAAAAATCACTACTACTAGAACCTTGAGAACCCCTAAGCCCCGCCCAAGCACTAAGTGCTCTTACACCCGCAGTTCTTTTAGATGATTGAGAATCGAAAGAAGAAGGAGTTGGAACATTTGGTCTAACATGATTTAATGCAACTTGATAAGCATTATAAATAGTTTGAACATTTATTTTAATTGAGGCTATTGTGTCCGGAAGCTTAGACAACTCCTTATCTTTAAGTGTTAAACCATTATAAACAGTTTCATACCAAAATTGAGGACCTCCTAATTTCATAGTAGGATTTAATAATGCAGCAATACCATAAATAGGGGAAAAATGGAAAAAATATTTTTTAAATTTTTTTCTCATAGAATCAATAGCAAGTTGATAAATTTTTCCACCCTCTGAAAAATGATCAAACAAATTTGCAAGTTCTGCAATATAAACTAAACAGTTAGAAATAGTAGGATAATATTGCCCAGAAAATTCATTTGTAGCAATATGAAATTTTTCAAAAAAATCTACAAGTATTTTAACATTAGCCCAATCCCCATTTGTAAGGTGTTCATCATCATTACTTACATGTGCATTAAATGTTGAGTTTATAGGGTTTCTATATTCATATGCAACAACCAAACTTTCATACATATAATTCTATCTAGTTGGACAAGGTTTAGGAACCTTTCTTTCTCTTAGGCCAAATTCATCGCATCTTTTAAAATATTCTCTAAGTCTACTTCTACGGTTTGAATAAAAAAGCCAGTTAAGAGCCATTTTAGCCTTTTCAATTTCAATATTTAAAATTCTCATACCATCACCCACAATTAAATGGTAAATATGACAAATACATCTAACATGAAAAATATTACTAAATGCAGGACTTAGTGGAGTGGTAAGCAAGGCTACAGCATTTGTGTTACTAGTAGCATTATCCATTGAAACTGACATTATTTTATCACTAATGCAAAAATATCTACAAATATCCGCAATCGTGCTAGAAATAAACTGCCCTGTGTGACGTGAATTAATTATTCTATAAGCAATAATGCGCTTTTGCATTATCCAATCCTCATCAATCCAATGACTGGTAACAGTAAGGTAATCACAGTCATTACCACTTCTACCAATATCAGTTGTAATAGCAACACGATAATTTATATGAGTAAATAAATAGCGCAAATATTGTTCATATTCATGTTTATATTTATAAATATCNTTATAAATAACACTCTTTACGGTTGTGCGAGGAAAACCTTTATAAGTAGGATTAAAAAATTTTCTAATATAATGCACAAAATTAGGGTCAGAAGGAAAACTATAGGGTAAACACATAACAGTTACCATTTTTGCCAATTCTTCCCGATCTTTTTGGATCATAATATAAAATACCACCAGTAACAATGTTAATTCCCGGTTGAGATTGATTTGAACCGGTACTAGGGTCAACCTGACTAGGAGTAGGTAGACTTTTTTCCTCGGCCAAAGCTTTCAAACGAAGATATCTCACTCTATCTTGAGGGTGTTTCATTATGTTTCTAGCCAAAGTTTCCGCCCCCCCCCGCGATCCAAAATATTTAAAAACTAATTCTGTGCCACAAGTTTTACACTTAACCTTATTTTCTAGAATTAGTTGAGTTAAAAATGGCCAAACGGGAGATGTTTCTGTCCGTTTGCTAGGTTGTCTAGAAAAAGTAGGGGTAGTAACAGGAGTATCAGATGGGGCATCATTTGGATTAGCAGGGTTATCACTAGTTGGGTTAACATCAAGAGCAGGACTAGTTGGTGTATCATCATCCGGTTGAGTTTCATCAAAATCTATTTCCTCGTCATCATTTTCATCAATCGTTGGATTAGAATAAAGAGCATTCATTAATTTATGGTCTAATTATTCACCAGCTCTAATATTATGGCAAAATTGACTTTCAGTAAATTGTAATAAACTATTATCGCTATCAAGAATAGCAGGTGTAGGACGAGTAACATGTTTGGGTCGGGGAGCCGGGGGAAGTGGAGNTGGGGGGGAGGGGGGAGGGAGGGTTAAATGACTATTTTATAAATAGCCAACGGCTATTTTTGACAGCCCAACGGCTATATTTTTNAATTGAGCACTAGATTCGTCACTCTTGAATTTTCCCTTATTTTTACCAAAAAGTTTTTTAAGGAAGCCATCTTAATTAATAAAGTAATAGAAAATAAATAAAATAAACAAAATTATAATATTAAAACTTAAGAGTTGCAACGAGTTACAAAATTGATGAACAACTTGTTGAAAATTAATTATCGTTGAAGACTTCAATTCACCAACTTCATAATTGTTTCACAAATTGTAACAATAAAGTAAATAATAGTAGCAATTACAGGAGAAAATTAGAGAGAGATTGTGATAGATTGATGATTTTATAAGAAAAAATGAAAGAATGATGGGGTATTTATAGTTGAAAATAGGAAAAAAGTGTAATTATAAAAAGTTTGGGATTAAAATAAATGGGGGGGAGGGGGGAGGGAGGGTTAAATGACTATTTTATAAATAGCCAACGGCTATTTTTGACAGCCCAACGGCTATATTTTTTTAAAAAATAAATTTAAAAATAGTCGTTGGGACCGTTTGGCCCGCTAAGGGACCGGTCCCGGTCCCCGGCGGGCCCAAATCATAGGACTGGCCTACGAGACCGGCCCAGGCCCACTAAAACCGGACCAAACGATCCTGGTCCGTTTGGCCCGCGGTCTCGGGCCGGCCCACTTGCCACCCTTAGGCTAACATATACGAATAAAGGTTGCGCGGTTCACAAAGAAGACCGACACCTAAAGGATGTGTAGTCAGGTAGAGGTGTACAAATCGAACCGAAAAATTATACCAAATCAAAAAGTTAAACCAAATTGATTAAGAAATCAGATTAGACTTGGTTTGGTATTGAGTAAAAAAATCTGAGTCATACAGACATATAAATATATAATTTTTATATATACTTTTAAGATTTCTCATAGAATTTTCTTTAAAAAATGTCTAGAAATAGATTGAAGTGCTCTATTTTTATTAACTTTAAATAATGGGTTGTATGATTATTTTCTTATCAACTGTTAGTGAAATGCGTCAATCTCTTTATTCTTCCATATCTATATGTTAAGATCTATTAAATTTTTATATCTTTTTTCAATTTTGAAGTGATATTTCGATAATTTAAAAATAAATAGAACATATCATTATATATGCATCATATTGATTTTTATATTTAATTATTAAATTCAGTTAACCTTGAGAGTGTATATCAACAAAAAATTATTGTCCGACGACTAAAAAGTAACTATCATATGTAATTAAGAAAATTCTCCCATAAGAATATGTTAATAGGTCATATGTTTGTCAATTTTTACTAACATATATTTACTTATAAAACATTTAACAACGAAAGATTGAAGTATATATATTCATGTAAAAAAGAAAACCCCGAAAATTCCGATAAAACCGAACCAATTTAAACCGAT